TGCAAGATCCTGCACAATATAAAAAACGAGAATAGATTTCTCTCTTGGTGAACTTCGAGTGAGCCAGTTGAGTGACCAACCGCGCTGCTTGGAACAACCTGCGAGGTCCGGTGGTAACCTGGAACGGCAATGGGAGACCCTGGGGGAGCGGAAGAACGATCCAGTAAGGCTGGAAGAGGTTCCTGGAACAAAAAAGAACAAGTTAGAAGGGCGCCGGAGTGTTTTCCGGCGTATCCCCTTCGACGATCTAGTCAGTCTTTGAGAAAGAGAGAGGAAGGAGAAAACACTGAGTGTGTATTGTAGTAAATAGTTTTTTGTTGCATACCCGTCTTGCCTTTTTCAAGGAGTATTTATACCTCAAAAGCTCATGATTGCTGTCAGTATAGTCAGTAGGTGATCATTAGGTACAGACAGTGTGCGCACTGATTCTGATGAGGAATGTCTTCTCTTCTTAACTGCTCTGGGTCCCGAGCAATCAATGCTGGGTCATCGGGATGCCGACGGTAAAATGTATTCCTCTCGGGGAGGATGCAATAAATGCTCTGTATTAGGGGCATTTATTGTCTTTCATTTCCGAGCCTTACCGCATTAAATGCGGTCTCATCAAGGGAATGGTGTAATTAATCGTTTGCTTTCTCAAGTCGCGTGTCAGCAACGGCATGCGGTTTCTCTGTCTTCGATGTGATATCATACGCCACGCGTCCATCCCCTATTGGCTATGACCCCTGCATTCCAGTACGTTCTGACACTAATTGTGTAAGACGAGGTCATGATGAATAGCCTAGGCTAATGACCTGTACGTCAATAGTTTATCCTGGAGTAGAGGAGGTGTCTAGGACGGGGTACACCTCGGCAGCGAGGAAAGGCTCATCTCGGAACCGAGGGAGGAATACCGACCGAGGTACCATATCAGACCGAGACCATGTGTTGGTTGTAAAACGTACTAAATGCCATGATCCTATATGACGAGTACCTCGGGGGCGAGGACCTTTATGCGCCGATGGTGCTTGATCTTATCAACAGTGTTTTAGTAATACCGATGACACGTGTCTTCATCATGGAGTATTTCAAAAAAGTCCCATCACCCGCACACAAATGCATCATCAAATTCTAATGTACATCTGACTTTCCAATACAGGGAGAATCGCCTATACTGAATTGTGACTTTTGCAAGAATTTCAGAGGCACTGATCTGGAGAAATCCTCACATGGCCCATATGGAGAGACCTTGGGTCTTTGTATCCTTGGGGTTTGGTCACAATGTATAGTAGGCTTAGCAACTGTTTAACCATATGATTAAATTCAGAGGACAATTTGGGCATATTATCTTATAGCTTTTAAGGCCTAAGCTAGACCAGACCATGGGTGTTTGTATCCTTTCTTTTATTACTTTAAAAGATATACAGTAAACCCACCGACCACCGGCCTTCCTTCTAGCTTGGTGGTTGTGGACCTCAAATTTCAACCACTTGGTTGTAAGTTTAAGGGCCGGTAGAGAGAGAGAGAAGGAAGAGTTATTATGAGGTATTCTAAAGTACCTTCTTTTTGTGTTATTTCTTTTTTCTTTTTTTTTTTCTGGAAATTTGTTTCAAGATTGAATACTAGAAACACAGACTCAATTGATAGAATTAACATAAGTACTATTAAGGTAATTTCATCAAATTTGCCTCGAAATTGAATACTACAAATAGAAACTCTTTGATCGTTGCGAACCATTTTTAATACATACGTAAGTTAGCTTCTATAAATATCCTTTGTTTAGTAATAATATTCAACTTCAAAATTCTTATACCCATTTCTCTGACAGTCTGTCTTCTTCTATTCCGTTTCCCCTCATTGCCTGTCATCGATTCCAGCCTCCCTCCCAAAATTGCAAGCTAAACCAGCATTCCCTCCTGGAGAGTGGAGTTGTCGGATATGTGTGGGTTTGGCCTTAACTGTGTTCGAGGTTTCAGTGGCAGCATAAATGAAAGGGCTTTCTTTCCCTCTTCAACAATCTATTGAGGAGCTATTGACGCTTTTCTTTGTCTCTGTTCTTTTGAAAAACAGAAAAACCCAAATACATATATATTCAGATTAAATAGTAGTAGCTGCGACAATTTATAAACCATCACACATTCTCACACTTTTGGGACAATTTATAAACCATCACAGATTCTCACATTTTTTATTTTATACAACCAATAGCTACAGACAAACAGATAGACAATTTACGATGATCATAGTGCCCAATATAATCAGCATAGTTTGTAAAATTTGAATTGTTCCATCCAAATAAAACCTTGGTTTCTACAGTACACACATCTTGATTTGCTTGGATGTGTGTAGGAATATAGGCAAATTAAACTGTCTAATTAAATTCTTCAGCATGGTTGGCAGAAAAAGAATGGCCATGGCAACCATTGAAGCCGAAAGGTCTCATTTAACACAGCCCTTTCTAAGGTTCATGAGAGGTAGGTGGGTTCAAGTTGAATTAGATTCGAATATCTTTAGCAAGGTGTAGTCTATGAGGCAATTGTACACTACTTTTATAAATGTCTTCATTCCCCCATTACACATGTTAACATACTCCACAATAGTACTACTCATCTCTTTTATACTGGCGACCGATAAAAAAAAAAAATCTTTTTTATGCTGTAATCTCACATTTCTTTGCTACCTATTTATTTATTTTATCACGTCTCTTTTTCATCTTCTCCTCTAATGATATAGCACTAACATATGTGCACAGCCACAAACAAGGAAGCCAAGTGAAGACCTTGCAGAGATCTCTTCCATAAAATAGGCCAGCCTCTGGTCCTCGCTAAAGAGTGACGTAATTTCTTATTCATTCTAATTTATTTTAAGTAAAATTTATTAGCTAAATCTTATTGATGATTAAGGCTAATCCGTGTTTTTCAGATACAATGTAATTTACATGGTTTTAAGAGGGATATTAATGATCATTTGATAAATTTATTTAAAATCGTCGAATAAATTTATTAAAGTTTGTCCTATTTTATATTATAAATACCATAATCACCAAATCGATCTATTTATCGCAGCTCAATCTCAAACAACACAACTTTAGAGATTAAGGATGAAATGATTAATTGGGATTTTGTTTGATTTTTATGTCAATCGATGATATACAAACGTGTTAATTAAGCTTATTTTATATGTTTTGTATTTGATTATAGAAAAATTAGTATCAACAATACTAATTGTGATTTTTTAAAGAAAAAATTAGATTTTTTTTATTTTATTTTAATAAATAACATAATAGAACATGAATTTTAGTTGTTAAATTTAAAATATTTAATATTCTATCTTTAATTGAAATATTTTTTTATCTAAGTATAATATTTTAAATTTAAAAAATTTAAATATTACACACTACAAATTTTAGGAGTCTCTGTTATCGCACATTAACAACTATACTAACAGTAGGAGTGTATATGTTATACACTTATAAATTTTAGAGAATTTTTATATAATATTTTAAAATAAGCAATGTTATTATGACTTAATTTAATGACATAATTTATTGACCTAATTCACTGTAAATCTCATCAAACATTAAAATTTGATGTTAATCTAATAATTTTTATAAAATTATATTATTATTTTAATAAATTAAATCAAATTTTTACGTCTAAATAATATTACTCTTATAAAATTGAGAACATCTAAGTAATTTTTTTTACAAATCTCAACCAAATATAATTTTCCCTTTAATTTAGTATAAATATCTGACTTTTGGCTTTGCCCTAAATCGTTCCCAGCCCCTGCGGTCGTAGTCTTTGCCTCTGCCTCATCCCGTCCTCTGCGCCTCTGCCTCTTCGTCTTCGTTTTGGCGACGGTGGACGTTCATATCACAGCCATCTCCAACTTAAGTCTCTCTCTCTGAGTCTTGATCGAAGTGGAAGAAAAATCAAAATGACTATCGATCACAGCTCCATCGAGGCATCGACGACTACCAGCAGCAGGTATATACTCTCTCTCTCGTTCAGTCGTTCTCTATATCGTCTCTCTACTCTCTGACTCTGTATGCTATATCTGATTTTTGGTTTGCATTTTGTATACAGTATTGAATATACATTGAATCTTTGATTGATAATCCTATATTTTATAAATTGTACTAATAATAAAAATAACATATTTTTCTACAAAGTCAACACATCCGAAGATCATGACCCAACAGCCAATTAAACATTTAACATTGAAAGTATTACTTACATTTTAGCTGATTCGAAGAATAACTGGTAATTGAGTTGTTTATGTTATGCTATTTTCTATATATAGGTCTTACTTATAAATAAGTCTTATATATATTGGCATCTCAGCTGCACCATTATACAAGATCAAAATGTGAGTCACAGTGGCATTTTACTTGCATCAATGTTTTTAAGTATTATCCTGCAGAAAATCATGGCCAAAGAAAGAAGAAAAATAGGAGAAAGTTATTCTTGTAAAAACCAATTTTTGTTTGGGGCGTGTTTGGATTGTATATCAGAAATCAGTACCCAAAAATAATTTTTGGAAAGAGTTCTAAGGAACTATGTTTTGGTTTTTTTTGAGACGAATAACTTGGTTATATAATTTCAAAAATAGTTTTATAGAAAATAAACCAATAAAATACAAAAAAAAAAAAACCAGAGGGAATTGAACATTACTTCACAATCTCTCTCCTCCACATCCATAGAAGCTCTCTCTGCATCAATGGTGGACTCAACAACCAGCCCCGAAACAACCATAGATCTCACTTCCCAATAGCCCGAACCTAGATCTGAAGGAGATCAACCCAGATCTGAAGAAAACTTGACCAAAAACGTTGAAAACCCTTTCACTGGAGATCGTCAGAGAAAATCCAGATCTGAAGCTGGCTAGAGAGAGAGAGAGACAGAGAAGCCCATGCTTTATTTTTTGCAGTTCATATTTATCCAAATTTATTTTACTTTGATCCAATGGCAGAGATTAACTTGGAGAGATAAGCATATCTCTAGCGACTAAAGGCAGAAGCAAATTTTTCCTAGATCCAATAATTCCGATCAAATTTGCAGGCTTTATAAACTACATCCAGCAATCTGGTAAGGTACTTGTAGACCCAAATTTTTCGATCAAATCCTCTTATGTTTTTTTGTGAAATTCAAAATGCTTTGAGGAGTTTCTCTTTCTGTCCCTTCTACCTCTTTCCTGTCCCAATCCCCCACCTCCTACACTACTCGCTCTCTGTCCGAAACCCCCACCATCAAAACCCCCCTATCCCAGTCACGCCACATTAGCGTTTTTAAAATCGGGATCGTAGAAAAATATATGTAGTAATACAAAATTCTCAAAAGCAAGACTTAAACAAGTCTAATATTTATGCAAATAGGAACATTACAATAAAGACCAAACTTAAGGTGTCATTGAAATTTGATAAACTGTAATTTGAACATTAAAGAACGACTAAGATCAAAGACGGATTGTTAATCTTGTGAGGTTGTGCAAATTGCAAAGTGAAATTAAAAAATTCAAGTATTTTTATCTGTACTTTTAGAGAAGAAATAAAGAGTAGACTAGAAAATTGAAAAACTGTTAGATAATAACTTTTGGCTATTAACATTTAAACAAAAAAGCATGAAGAAATAAAAATAAAAGACCATTTGGCTATGATCACTCACTATGAGATAAAATTAGATCCAACCATTGTTTTCAACTTTTTAAAAGAGAGACAAACGAAAAAAAATATATTTTTGAAAAATAAACTTCCTATAGGTTTTCCTATCTTTTGAAATTTTCACATTTGCATTGACTACTTAATTATAAAAACCGAAAAATATGGATTGAATTGCTGGGTAAATAAATATGCTTACCAAATAAACTCAACAATTTGGATCGATAAAGTCGCAGTTCGGATCGAGATATAAGATCCACATCACGATTCTTTAAGATCCTATGAATTTGGGATTCTATGTGAGACACAGATCAATTTGCTTATATTGGATCGGAAGATCCTAGGATTTGGATTGAGATTTTGATAACCATGCGCCACACACATTCTCTTCACACACACACCGGACACTCTGGCACACTTGATAAAGGAATTCACTCATTCACACATATGGCCAATTACAATGTATTTATGAATTCACTCTCAAACATATTTGATATATATATAAAGGGCGCGAGCCCAATAAAACCGATATTGGTTTGGGCTTAGGTTCAACCCAAACCAAAGTCACGTAGTTGGGTTGATTTAACTCTGCTAATGTGAATTCATTTCTCCAAGCACTCGAAGCATGCTTATATTCATATATTGTCATCTTCTTTGTTGCCATGAATCTCATCTAAATAAGAGAGCAACAACAGATGAAAGTAAATTTTGGTACTTGTTAGGTAGGAAGTACAAAGCAAGAGAGAGTCCTTCAAATTATTCAGTTCCTTGTCGGTGCCAATTCGATTCCTAAGATTGATAGCGACAGATTCTTGGAATAATATCCAATTCCAATGGGTTAGAATTAATTTGTTGAGGAGGGTGGATCTAAATACCCACATCTACACTTATATCCATTTTTGACCCTCAAGAATTTGGAACCCTCACTGTCTCACCATCGTCTTCTACTTCTCCAATCTCTTCTCTCTCTCTCACACGGTCACCAATGCCCAAATCCAGTTCATTCTCTATGCTCTCAACTGCAATTTGATCCTCAACTTTCACCTCTACTTCTCAATTCACCGTTTCTGTGATCGGAGTTCATCTATCTCACTCGTAGTCGCAACAGGTAACTCATGGTCTCACTTCATTTTTCTCATTTCTGTAACCGAACGAGTGTCCGAAATTATCAGTCTCAAGACTCTCACCTGTTTTCCGAATGGTTGAAATTAATTTGGTTGCTATTGTTCTTGGTTTGCTATAGTTTCATTCTCAATTCTTGCTATGGGCATTTGAAATTGAAAGCTTGGATGCAGATTGCAATGATCTGCTCTTTCTCCTCATTTATCTGTAATGGGCCAATGGCAGTGGGTTCAACCATTCAAGTGTTCAACACCTGGTTTCAATTGCACCTCAAAATGAGTTTAACATTCAATTAATGGAATTAGGTTCGAATAAACTTGCGAATTTTAGGTCTATGTTTCTGGATGAGTCCCAAATAAATGTTGAATTCTGATTTCGAAATATGATTCTGAATACTGATATTTATTCTGTTTTTGTCTGTGGGGTTCTATTATACATAAAATATGTTACTTTTATGATTAGTACAATTTTTAGCACATTTATGATGGTTCCAACAGGTGACTATGAGTGACCCAATAACCTGGGCTATTTGCCAGGCTTGTGGCTAGGCCGGGTTTAATAATTATGGATTTTGTAACCAAATTGCAAGTAACGACAAGAATGCCCAGGCCAAACATAAGGAAAAAAAATAATTGGAGTGCTACATTTAACTGCTTTTTTAGTCTTCAAGAGCAGGTTCTTTGTTGCAACATTCATACTTCCATGTTGTTCCTTTTGATTTCATGATTTCAAGACAAAGCATTGAGATACTTATTATAATCCTTATGATTGTTTTGGAGAAAAACATTCACTAAGAAAAATGGATTGAGGCATAAGCTCTTGGTAATTTGTGATATACAGTTTCCTTATCCTCCTTTGTATGTAGGATCAGGTTGTTGAGGTCATTTGGTAGTCAGGTTCCTGCAACATGACTGCGACACTCGTTGATCTCCATCTCTGTCAAACACAACCCTCCCCCATTTTTGCAACATAGTTAGCATGTTGATTGTGTAATGTTATATCTCTTGTTCAGAATGTTGGTTTGTTTTGAGTTGACCATTCTTCTTATTTATTCAGTTTTAACTACTATGTTTCAGGATTTTGAACCTGAAATTGCTGCCCTTATTATTGAAATCACTTTAAGAGAATTTTGAAGAAAAGTGAAGGTCTCCAAAAGTGGGTTTATCAGAAGATTTTTAACAAAGTGGATATGTCCGACTTTTATTTGTTATAGAATAAGAATGGGGAGTCGCGGAAACAACCTCTCCCCTTGAGGGGTAAACTGCATACATCTAATCCTCCCCAGAACCTGCAATGACGGAAGCCTCGTGCATTAAATACACCCTTTAAAAAAAGAATGGGGAGCACAAATTTTCCAAAGCGCTACGTAATTGTCATTTTGACCTTCTTCTGCACTTGTGTATGCTACATAGAACGTGTGGGCTTCTCAATCGCATATACTATTGCTGCTGATGCTGCAGGGGTAAACCAGTCGAACAAAGGCATGATACTTTCCACATTCTATTATGGATATGCTTGTTCGCAAGTGCCTGGTGGATGGGCAGCTCAGAAAATTGGGGGAAGGCGTGTTCTTCTCCTCTCGTTTGTATTATGGTCTCTAACATGTGCTTTAGTACCGCTGGACCCAAATCAGGTGATTATTTTGGTAATTGCACGCTTACTCGTTGGAGTGGCTCAAGGATTCATCTTCCCCTCCATCCATACTGTCCTAGCACAGTGGGTACCACCACATGAAAGGTCAAGGTCTGTTTCTCTTACGACATCTGGAATGTACTTAGGTGCAGCTGTGGGAATGCTTGTACTTCCAAGCGTAGTGAAATTTAGGGGTCCTCAATCTGTATTTGTTGCTGAGGCAGCTCTAGGTGCCATGTGGTCTCTGCTTTGGTTCAAATTTGCCAGTGATCCACCTCGTTCTGAGCATCCAAAGGCAACTGCTGCTGGTTTTGGGGAATCTTTGCTGCCTATTAAAGGGAGTCAGAAGATGAAAACAGAGAATGGAGGACATATCATTAGAACTCCCCAAATCCCATGGAAGAGAATTATCCTCAGCTTGCCTGTTTGGGCAATTGTTGTGAACAATTTCACTTTCCATTATGCTTTGTATGTTCTGATGAACTGGCTGCCCACATACTTTGAGTTGGGCCTTCAGCTCAGCCTTCAAGACATGGGTTCTTCTAAGATGCTGCCTTATCTCAACATGTTTGTGTTTTCTAATGTTGGTGGTGTGATTGCAGACCACTTGATCACTAGAAGAATATTGTGCGTGACTAAAACCAGGAAGGTTTTGAATACTATAGGATTCGTAGTAGCTTCTTTTGCATTAATGGCTCTTCCCCTCTTCAGGACCTCTGGTGGAGTTATCTTTTGTTCCTCTGTGGCTCTTGGGTCTTTGGCACTAGGGAGAGCTGGGTTTGCAGTGAACCACATGGATATTGCTCCGAGGTATGCTGGCATTTTGATGGGTGTTTCTAATACAGCTGGTACATTAGCTGGCATTATTGGGGTCGATCTAACTGGCCGGCTTCTTGAAGCTGCTAAAACTGCTCAGCTGGATCTTTCTAGTCCGGATAGCTGGAGAGCCGTGTTTTTTATACCGGGGTTGCTCTGCATTTTTAGTTCTTTGGTCTTTCTACTATACTCAACTGGGGAGAGAATTTTTGACTGAGGTAATGTTAAATGCGTCATGCTTCTTTATATTGTCATATGGTAGACATCGTAATAGAGATACGCATGCTAGTAAATCCCTCTGATGTTCAGCATCACCGTTTGTCAGCAGGAATATATGTCAGGTTCTACAAGCCCAAAAGATCTGAAGTAGTTAGCATAGCATTAGCTAATACAAGTCATTGGTAAAATTTGTCAAAAAAATTCTTTTGAAGCTTGTTCGGTTTTTTATTTTTTATTTTCATCATTTATATCACAAGTGAAAGGACTTGTTCAGACGGATGAACCTTGAAATTCTATTTAGATGTGATGTACGAGCGGTGTAGCTGCAATTGTCCGACTGTTATGGCGGATTAAACTCATTGGTTCTGCGGTGCTATGCACTCTGATAGGGTCTACAAAGCAACTAGACTCCTTGGGTATCGTTAAGCTTATTAAACATTATACTTGTAACTGACTTGACTTGGGAACTTGATGCCCCAAATACAATTTTTTGTAATTCATTTTTAGATATTTAAGAAGATTTTGATTTCATACTGTTTCTTTGAATTGGTTGAATATGGGATTGAAAGTTCATTTGTCAGATGATGCAAAGTTGTAGGGTTGTTATATTTGGCCTTGTGTTGTATGTGGCAATCGATTTCCACGCTTTGTTCTGAATGACCTTGAGGGTGTAAGCTCTAACTCATTATCTGTTAATATCGTATGGAAATTAGCAGAAAACTAGGTTTTAGGGCTAGATTTGTGTCAAAATCCAAGGCATAAAAATCAGTATTTTAAATATCAATCAGGCTCGGCAAGTTGACCTGATGAACCGGAGCCTAAACCAGGCCAGTTTAGCTATTGGATTGTTCAAGCAAATGAACCGGATAAAATTTGCTAAACTGGCCGGTTTTGTAACAAAATTGCTAAATCGGACGGTTTAAAAAAACCTGGATGGTCTAATTCAAATGCTATAAAAACAGGTTCAAGGGCATTTTTGCCCAAATTTCATTTAATTTCTACCTTTGCTGACTATTTCTCCTTGACTCCAACGAGGCAACTGGTCGCTCGGTCTTCTCTATCTCTCTCTCTCACACACAAACGCGCGCGCACACAGAACAATAGCCCATCACTCAATTGAAAGCTTGAAGTGTTCAGATTCCTCGATTCAGTTTCTTCGCTAACAACACTACAACAAATCTTCGACGATCAGATATTACGTTTCTCTCTCTCTCTCTCTCTCTCTCTCTCCTTGTTAGTCTGCTATTACATTTCAGAATTAATTGATTTGTATTTGTATAATTTTTGGCCTATTTCAATTAATTATGAGGTTTAATTAATTGTGGGTTATTGGTTTTGATACTCTAACTTTACAAAGTTGTATAGGAAATTGAATGGATTGGATATATGTTTAATGATTTTAAGTTTTTTGTTTGATCTAATATATATTAATCATGTTATTTTCATAATTATTGTGATTGTTTAGCCTGTTTATAATTATTTTTTATTTTTTTATTATATCACCGATTCGACCAGTGACTCATTGACCTAGTCCCTTCCTTGGATTGATGTTCAGGCTGAAGTTTTAAACTATGATAAAAATAGTTGGGAACAGTAGATATTTCCAAGAATCGCTAATCTCTTTTACTCATTCCTCAATCGATAGAATCATTAAATTGGTTGTGGGTTTCAATATATATCGGGATTTATTGTCAATCTAATAATTATAAATGATTAAGTCAATAAATTAGGCCTGAATAGCATTACTCAAATTTTAGTTACCGAAAAGAAAAAGAACTTAAATGAATATTGACAAAGATATCAGGGTAGATTTTGTTGTGAAAGGAACCATTTTACTTACCAAAGAATTTAATAGTAATGGAGTATGGCCCATGAATCATGCGGGTCGCAAATGGGATGGTTTGGAACAATTTTGCGTATAATATGGAGACTCACTTCAGTTATTTACTTTATTCAAATTACTAGCGAATTATCGGGATACTTAAATAATATAAGAAGACTCACCTCAGTTAAGCTTAGACGAAAGTTTTTCCACAATACTATATGATTGAATCTGTCAATCTTTTAATCACACAACATGGCATGCCATTGAAAATTTACTATTTACACTTCTTTTTTATGGTATTGGTATTCATTTTTATTCTGCGCTCTAATTTAAATATTTCTTTCTCTATCTAGTGGAATAGTAAAATTGTTGGGTAAATTTTATTCACATTTTTGTAAATAGGTCTAATTTCAATAAGATCCTTTTCTTTTTCTAAAATTTCACTGATATGCCAAATAATCGTGTGCGTTGAGGAAAAGACCTAACAAAATGGACTATTTTACTAATTTACCCGTGTTTTATATATAAAGTATGCCAATGGATATATACAGTAGATATATGGATATGCATGTATGACAAAAAGCAAAAGACTATCAGTCGCTGCCCCTCCCCACTGCCACCCACTCCGACCTCTTTTGCCCCCCCACTCCAACCTCCTCCGCTACCCTTTGTTCTCGGACATATCACCCCGACCACCCTACTCGTCCTCCTCTGCCGCTTCCTCCTCTCTCTCTCTCTCTTTTCATATACACCAATTTGTTATAACCACCCACACGCTTTCTCTCATCCCCAAATATTTTTCTCTCCCCCCATCTTTTATCACAGTGGGTTGGTTCCAATTTCGGTTGAATTTGGGCCCATCACCTAACATTAAAGCTTGAAGAGCACAAATGTAATATGTTTTTAGCAACGGTTGTCACCATGCTCCACACACAAGTTCCAACAATCAACAACAACCCACAACCATACAAAACCTCCTCACCATAACCCCAAGGACCACCTTCACCTAGCTAACTAAACCCCTAATTGAATTGTAAACCCAAAGTTCGAAGAATCCAAGAAGAATTAAAGCACGTGGAGAATAATTATCAGAATATTCACTCTCAAAGATTAAGGCATCCTTTAATTGTAATTACCTTTTGTAGTTATCCTCCCCGAAAAATTAGTGTATTTTCCCTCAAGTCACCATCTCAACTCAACTAAGGTTTTGTATCTATAAATTGTAAGTTCTCTCAATTGAGAAGAGCATCTCTACACCTCTCTACACACCCCACGCATATATTTTCTCTCTCCTATCTATTATATCCCTCTCGGAGCTAACTATTACTCTCTCTCTCTCTCTCGTTCACTTTACTTTATTAATAAAGGTTCTCCACCCACCGTTACCGTTTTTTCGGAATGGAGTAGGTCATCCGTACCGAACCATTATATATCTATGTGTTGACCTAATATTTATATTATTGTCATTGATTGTTCTATTAATTATCCATTAATTATACTTTATCACACCCAACTATTAATCTTACATGCGTCTATTTTTTGCATCATCATTAACAATTCTAATCTTCTCTCTCATGTTTTTTGTATTGGTAGGCCCCAAAAATTCCCAAAGGTTGCCTTGGATGTGGCGGTCTACGGTGCACGTTGGTGGTAAGTTCACAGTTGGTTGGGTGGCGCGTGAACTTGTTTGAATTTATATTTCTATTCAATCAAGTATATTATTCCTATCCGAATTTGATTCAGTACAATCGGATAGTAAGTCAGGTAGGAAATCAAGGGAACACATATTTTTTAGTTATTAATTTTTAAATTATTTTAACAATTTAATTAAGTAAAATACACTAATTAACTAAAACAATAAACCAATAACACTAAAAAACACAATAAATTCAATAATTTATAAACAATTATAATGAAACATAACAAGAAAGTCATAAACATCAATACATCATATATAAAATAATCATAAACATCAATAAAATATTATAATTTCTAGATTTTAATTTTTAGTGAGATATATATACACACACACGGGTAGGGTAAGAATATGAAAATTTTGTAAATATTTCGCATTCCTATCTAATTTGTTACAGAATATCAAAAGATTTTTTGTTGACCTACCCAATTCTTTTGGTAGCCGATCACTAAGATTGGGTAAGATAAAATAGGATTGGAATTTGCAGGCAATCAAAAATTTAAACACTCCAAACTCTGTCTATGGGTGTGGCAGAAAAAGACTATAATGCAGAGAGAAAAGGAGAAGGGGGAGGTTAAAGGAGTGTATTTTAAAAGGGTATTCTAGTTATTTTTGGAAAAATATTGTGTGATACCAGCATTTTTTATTTAGAAAAAATTTCAGTTATAGCTCCTCTAATTTATCATATTTTCAATCCTCTATTTTTTAAATTTTCACTAACACTCCTTGTCAAATTGAAAGATTGTTTGGGGTTTATATAGAGATAATTTTAGTATTTTAAATAATTTATTTTTGTTATAAATAGTAGTTTAATGACAGAGGGTGTTAGTGATGTTTAAATATAAATTAAAAAGGATATTAATGATGTTTTTAACAATAGAGGAGATGTCCTTGAAAATATAATAAATCAAAAGGGGTGTAACTTAAATGGCAATGATGTCAATTTGTCTTTTGCTACACATCTCAAACAGTTGATCACAAAATATAGTATCTTTGTATTACTTTAAAAGTATACAGTTAACGCTTCGACCACCGCCTTCCTTCTAGCTTGGTGGTTGTGGGTCTAAATTCTGACCCCCAGGTTGTGGGTTCAAGGGCTGGTAGAGAGAGAGAGAGAAGAGAGAAAAATATGAGGTATTCTAAAATACCTCTCTTTTGTTATTTCTTCTTTCTTTTTCTAGAAATTTGCTACAGGATTGAATACTACAAACAGAAGCTCAATTGATTGAATTAACATAAGGTATTATTTAGTGAAATATCATTATGAATCGAATGTTTGATTATAAGTGGATTTATATATCATCATTTGATCTGTTAGATAAATAGATCAAATTCAATAACATTAATATGATTCGTATGAACTTAGATTTGTTCCGAATTTGATCCATTGACAGGTCAATATATATTAAGTTAGACTTTAAAAAAAATAAAACGCTACTTAAAAAAAATAAAACACCAAAAAAAGAAAGTATGTAAAAATAATTTTACGGAGTGGTATCTTGATAATTACTTTCTAATTCCCACTGCTAATTTCCAGCATATCCACTGAACTGAAAACCCTTCCTGAAGTGAAGTCC